CCCTTTTCTTTTTTGCAAAAAGGAACATTTTAACTTTAACATAGTAAATTACATATAACAAAACAATTATCAAGCAAGAATTATAGTTATAATATCTGGTCTATTTCTATTTGGCAAAATTAAAGAAGCTATCCTATCTATCCTATATTTGTGAGTCTAAGATTTTATATCTAACTTATCTTTTATCATAACTAAGGAAATTATAACTATCTAGTCTTTAACTATATTAAAGACCTCAGAAGGATATAATATTACCTGAGAAACAGGAGAAGGACGCAAGCAACGTTTGGGAGTCTTGTGAGAGTAGACAGAGACAGCTGGCAGCCTGAACAGTCATCCAAAGTTCCTCTGTATAGTTGAGGCATCTGTCTTTAGTCCACAGGCCTAGAGTCTCTCAGTTACTGCTCTCTGTGTCCTTTAGAATGTCTGGCAGTTTTCTCTGCAAAGCATTTTGCCAAGCAAAGTTCAGTGGCCACCTTTCTATGGGTCCTGCATGTCCAGAAGATATAACATTTTGTCAAACAGTCCAGGCAAGAACAGTTTTTTTGCCCAAATGGCTATTTTTGCCAAAAAGAAGATAAACTCCATATAGAGTGTCTTCGATGCACATCCTCCTATCTGAAGTAAATTGGTGCTGCCAGGAGCAGACATGTCTCACTGTTCAGAAAGTCTAAATTTTTAAAACATTTTAAATGTCATATTTTGTAGGTCTTTGAAGTGTTTGAAGATTACCTACCTCATTGAATAATATCTATGTATACCTAGAAAACTTAACATGACTGTAAGTTTGACTATCATAGAAGACTAATTATTAATCTGTATTTTTAATTATCCATTACAATTTAAATGAGTTACATAAACATAATACCTCAAATGAGAGTAGAAATATATATATGTATATATAACAAAATTAAGTTTAAACTTGTATCAATAAACTAAAATCCATAGCAATATAAAACATTTTTAAACAAGTTCTTGCTCTTTAAAAGTAGGTTCATTAATCTATCCTTTCATGCTACATATCTATGCTATCCTCTTTTCTTCTTTAGAAAGACATTGCATTTATAATTAACCTGTTTTAAATAAAAATATTGGTTTTTCTCTGTCCCACACCAGAGGGCTCGTCTGATATGGGACAGAAGAATCTCTCAACTTTTTTTTTTTTTTTTTTTTTTTTTTTTTTTTAGCAATATGCTTGGGTTTAGAGAAGGAGTGAGTCAATTCCATCTCCATAGCCAGTTTGGTATATTGGGGAATTTGGGCATAGCTTTTCATACTACTTCCTGCTGGATGAGGGCACTGTATTCTTGTGGGGACATAAAGAAAACTTTAGGATTGTGGAGTAATCCGTGAGGCTGTATTTTCTGAGCTAGTTGCCTTGAAACCATTCTGGATGTTGGATCATCTGGGCTATGGTGTCACTGGAGACCTTTCAGGGGGTCTTGGCTGGTCAAACCTGATATATCTTAATCTGGAACAAATCCATAGCCTCTTGCTTTCTGTGGAAACAAATGCAGAGCCTCCTTTCCAAGGCAACATATCCTCACATCCAAATTTTGAAGTCAAGGTACCTTTAAAATATATATATTGGTTTAACTGATCAGCCTTTACAATCAAATGTCTTTCTGCAGTTAAAAATCCCAAAGACAACACAATCCAGATTCTCTGTGTTATTTTTACGTGGCTTTTTTTAAATATTACTTTATTTTTTTAAAGACTTTATTTTTTAAAACTATCTATTTCTTTATATAACTGCATATATTACTTTCTTTCTTTTCTTCCAAGCCTACATACATTTTTACACGCATTGTAGACCATTGAGAGGTTTGTCCCATCTGAATGTGTCTTATTGTGAATCTATCACTTTAAACTGCAGCATTTTCTGCCCACCTCAGCTTCCCAACATGGCAGTGGTACGCTTACCACCAGCTCTGGGTCTGGGAGCCATGTGTACCATCAGAAGCAGAGGGTCTATGCTTTTATCAAAGCAGCATGTAGCCCAGAAACCTCCCCCCTTTTTTTGTACTAGCAAAGGCTAAATCCACCATGTAGCGTATGTGTGGCTTGTAGATGCCTCATTCCCACCATGCTGTAGGTCAAGTCCGCACACCATGAACCTGCCATAGAGTTGCTCAAGCCCACGGGCTGCTGCTAACTTGAGAGAGACAAATAGGAAGCTGTTTTTAGCTCCATTTTAGAATCTTCTTTCTCAGATTTTAGGTGGAAATTCTTGCCCCATGTTGGGCACCATTTGCAGCTGAAGTTTTCCTAGTCATGCCCTGTTCCCGTAGCCCTCAGACCCAAATGAACACACAGAGGCTTCTATTAATTAAAACTGTATGGCCTAATGGCTCAGGCTTCTTGCTAGCTAGATCTTACATCTAAAATTAACCCATAATTCTTATTTGTGTTTAGCCATGTGGCTTGGTACCTTTTCCCAGTTCTGCCTTCATATCTTGCTTCCTCTGTCTCTGGCTGGCAACTCCTGACTCAGCCTTCCTGTTCCCAGAATTCTCCTCTCTGCTTGTCCTGCCTATACTATACTTCCTGCCTGGCTACTGGCAAATCAGCATTTTATTTATCAACCAAATCAGAGCAACACATTCACAGCATACAGAAAGTCATTCCCCGCAGTTTTCATTTTTCATATCTGTGACCTTGTACAAGGTCTAGATTTTTGCTTTAAAGGTATTATGTTCATTCAATATATAAAGGAAATATGGGCCAGAGATGTATGCCATAATATTTTCAATTTAAAATCACAAGCATTTCCATTGAGTTCACAGTAATTCTGATGCCAGTTCTCCAAAATAAAAACTGATCAAGTAAATATATTTGTGGGTTGGGACTGTTTCTCTTCCTTGAGCATTGGCGTTTTAGTGGAGTAGTGAAAGAAGCTTTTAAAGTAGAAGAAAGTTCTGGACTTGCTATGGTGACATTTTATTTGTGCTCTAATAAATAAAGCTTACTTGAAGATCAGAGGAAAAAGCCAGCCACTATTATATTAAATATAGAAGTCAGGCTGAAAGACCCCCGAAGGTAGTCTTCCCTCTGGAGAGACCCTCGCCCAGAGATCACACCGAGACCACAAGTCAGATGCAAACAGCAAGAGGCTTTACTCAGGAACACGGGTACCCGGGGCGACACAGTCACTCCAGAGGCTCAAGAGACTGGCGCGCCGACGGGCTGGAGTGGAGGGTTTTTATAGGGTCGGGCAGCAGAAGGGCGGGTACAGAAGCAAGAAGCATGGTTTACAGGGTTCTGATTGGACGATTCGTATGAGGCCAGGTTCAAACTCAGGACAGCTCGTGGTTTTTCCCGAGCTCGACACGCCTGCTGACTTGGCTCTTATCTAGGGTACAAGTTGTTTTTCTGACCTTTTAGTTCCCTGTTCTGGGGCCAGGTGGCCGACCGCAGATACCCTGTTTGTTCCTGTGCCCATGTCCTCTAACTGAACTTTCCCCGTACTTTTCAGGCCTTGCTCAAAATGGCATTAGGCTAAGCAAGTATGCTGGGGCCTTTCATTCCCCCATTTTCTTATCTCAGGGAATGGAATCCTCCATTCATGGGGAAGAATAGGGATGTGGCTCCATTTCCACCTGGTTGAGTCGTTGGTATTGTTGGGTCAATACCAAGGTCTGAACAGTAGAAACGCGTTCCCTGATAAATTGGACAAGTCTGTTTAGGATACAGGGCCCGAGCGTCAGAAGGAGCAATAAAATCAGAAGGGGTCCCATAAGGGTGGAGATGAGGGTGGTGAGCCAGGGGGACCTTCTGAACCATCCTTCAAACCATCCCTGCTGTTTTTCAAAGAGTTTTTGTCTTTGTTCTAATCTCTTTCTTAATTTAGCCATGCTATCTCTCACCACCCCAGTATGATCCGCATAGAAGCAACATTCTTCTTTAAGGGCGGCACATAACCCCCCCTCCTGCAGGAAGAGGAGGTCTAATCCCCTCCGGTTCTGCAGAACTACCTCAGACAGGGAGGTGAGTGACTTTTCCAAGGCACTCACGGATTCCTCCAGTGCCTGGATATCGGTATGCATGGCAACCTGGAGTTGTCTGAACTGGTTGGTTTCCATGAGGGCAGTGGTACCTGTGCCTATTCCGGCGGCGACTCCTCCCATAGTTAATCCACCTAGTATCAGGGCCAGGGTTAGCGAGACTGGCTCTCTTTTTATACGGGGGACCCCTGTTTCATATCGGGCATAGATATCTTCAGGTGCATGGTAGACTATCTTGGGGTACAGTTCTATGAGCACACAATAATCGGCCGTGTTGGCTAGTATTGAGGGGGAGAGGCATGGTGTAAGTCCAGTGCTACAGGCCCAGTAAGTCCCGTTGGGAGCCACGAGATAGTGGGGTCCTGGAACAAGTGCCTGGGTGCGATTACACAGGTGTTGGTGGGTGTAGGGTACTGTCCCCAGACATAGTCCTTGTCCTGACACCTCGGAGATTGTGAGCTTATGCTGAGGTGTCGAGGCACATCCTGACGGGGGTGAAGAAGAATTGGTGAAGCTTCCGACTACGGCCACCCCCTCATAATAGGGAGGTGTGGAGACTAGGCATAACCAGCACTCCTGAGTCCGATTTGGGTTGGTAACATTGAGGGCTGAGTAAGCGCCCTCTATAAGATTCAATAGCCGGTCTCCCATACCGGGCCTGGGTGGCTGGAGGGTGACTGGGGTTACAGTAGCATTCGGAGCCGTGCTTGGGCGAATGGCCGAATTGGGTCGGGGGGTAGCCCTCGGGGGTGCCGGAGCGGGTAAAGAGGGGCGCTTTTGGTCAGAGAGAACCTGGTTGGGACCTATAGAGGCGGAGGGCTCCGTGATTTTAAGCCTAATCGTAAACACGACTCCCTGGTCCCGTCCCGTCATGTAAAGTCTAAGTCCCCATGTTTTACCTTTAATCCAGTCTTGTGTTATCTCCCTTCCCTTTCGAGTAAAAGATATATTCAGGGGGTTGCAGGTGAAATTTACACAGGGCCCACCCCCCTTCCAGTAAACGTTATCTCTTCCTGACGTGACAGTTCCCCAACAACGTCCTTGGGTAAGGGGACGCCATGAGTGGCTTTCTCTTTGGGTAGTCCTTTTTACCCTAATGAGGTCCCAAGTGGATGAAGGCTTCCAATAGGTATTACCAGTTGTTTCACATCCCCATGCTTTACAGAAGTAACTTTCATAACCCCCACATTGTCTAATCATCTTTCTGTCCCTACCATCCCGGGGGCAGACGTAGAAGGATAGTTGTGACAGGGCTGCTCTGGTTTCAGGGTGACCACATCCGTATCTCCCGTCACTACATTTGCAAGTTCCCTTACCATCCTGACAGACGTCTGGTGCTCTGGGGTTCATGGGGTCAGTGGTAGGGATGTCCCAGTCCTCTGACCCTGCTACTAGTTGGCAGAGATCTGGATGCAAGTTAGGCCACCATGTAAAGGGGGTGTGAAGGGCGGTCGTTTGCCAGACCGTCTCCCCAGTTTGTGAGATAACCTGCCAAGTGAGCCTCTTAACTAGGTGCGGGCTCTCTGCCGCCCTAGTCCCCTGGGGGTAGGCAGAGATTAAGAGGAGGGGGAGGAAGAGGAGCCGCGGGCCAACCTTATTTTTAGGGGGTTTCGTGTGCGGCGCACTGTCCATGTTGACTTTCTGGATCCTGCTGGGTCGGGTTCCCTGGCAGCCTTCACATGAGAGGCGTGGATCCATGCAGCAATCCCGTCGACCTTGAGTGCAGTGGGGGTGGTCAGCAAGACAGTGTAGGGCCCCTTCCACCGTGGTTCCAGATTCTTGGTCTGGTGTCGTCGGACCCAAACGGAGTCCCCGATCTGGAAGGGGTGGGGCACCACCGGCTTGTCTAGCTGCTCCTGATAAGCCTTGGCCAGGGGCTTCCAGATCTCCCTCTGCACCAGTTGGAGGGCTTGAAGATGTGCCTCTAAAGTAGGGGTGGTGGCAAAAGATGAAATATCAGGATGGAGAAAGTTTACAACAGGAGGTGGGGCCCCATACATGATCTCAAAAGGGGTTAGGCCGTGTGGGCCAGGAGTATTTCGGGCTCGGTAGAGAGCCAAGGGGAGTAGGAGCACCCAATCTCTAGTGCCAGTTGCAAGCGTTAATTTGGTTAAAGTCTCCTTGATTGTTCTATTAGCTCGTTCTACCTGTCCTGAGCTCTGGGAGCAGTATGCACAATGGAGTTTCCAATCAACCCCCAATAGTTTGGCCACCTTCTGACTTACCTGAGAGACGAAGGCAGGCCCGTTATCCGACCCCAATATTTGAGGCATCCCATACCTGGGGAAGATTTCTTCCAACAGTTTCTTTGTTGCCATGTTAGCCGTCTCATTCTTGGTTGGAAATGCCTCGATCCATCCGGAAAAAGTGTCCACGAAGACCAGGAGGTACCGGTACCCGTAGAGTCCGGGTTTTACTTCTGTAAAGTCTATTTCCCAATGAACACCAGGATGATGGCCTCTTTGGCGGGCCCCCTTGTTTAGATGAACCTTTCCTGCGTTGACTTGAGCACAGGCTGGGCAGGTAGAAGTTACCTGCTGGAGTACCTGATCCTGGTTCAGCAGCACTGCCCAGGTGTTTTCTCTGTCCAATAGGGTCTTCATCTTGTTTTTGCTCAAATGGGTCAATGCATGGAGGAATCTCAGCATATATCGGGTATGGGAGGTTGGCATGACCATCCGGTCCCCTAGTATATATGCTTGTCTTCCTTGTTCCCAGTCCGCCCCCATTTTCTTTGCTAGCTCATGGTCTTCTGGGCTATAGGGCATGGGGTCTCTCTCAGGCTGTGGTTCTTGTATGGCCATCAACTGGCTGCTCCCTGCTGGCTGGGAAGCCACTGTTCGGGCAGTCAGATCCGCCAGCCGATTCCCTCTGGCTACCGCAGAGTCATCCTTTTGATGCCCTGGGCAGTGGACAATACTGAGTTGGAGCGGGAGGAACAGGGCCTTTAGGAGGTCTAGGATCTCTTTTTTGTTTTTGATTTCCTTACCCGCGGACGTCAGCAGGCCTCTCCGTCTGTAGATTTCCCCGTGGACATGCGCAGTGGCGAAGGCATGTCTGCTGTCAGTATAAACTGTGAGCTTCTTACCTTCTGCCATCCGGAGAGCTTGGGTGAGCGCAATCAGTTCTGCGCGCTGGGCCGATGTCCCGGGCGGGAGTGACGATGCCCATACCACTTCCAATTCGGTGGTTATAGCTGCCCCGGCTCTGCGTTCCCCCTCCTCCAGGAAACTGCTCCCATCTGTGTACCAGACAGCGTCTGGATCCTTAAGCGGCTGATCTGTCAGATCAGGGCGGGTGCCATGTGCTTCGGCTAGAATCTGGAGGCAGTCATGCTCCTCGGAGGGGCTAGGCAGTGGCAGCAAGGTAGCAGGGTTAAGGGAAACTGTCGGCCCAAAATTTACCCGGTCTGAGCCCAGTAGTAAGGCCTGATAGTAAGTCATTCTGGCGTTAGAAAGCCATCTGTCCGGTGGTTGTCGGACCAAGGCCTCCACTGCATGGGAGGCCAGCACAGTCAACGGCTGTCCCAGAGTCAGCTTCCCGGCATCCTTGAGTAATACGGCAATGGCTGCCACCATGCGGAGGCATGATGGCCATCCTGTAGCCACCGGGTCCAATTTCTTGGACAAGTACGCTACAGGTCTCCTCCAAGGTCCCAGTCTTTGCACCAGTACCCCTTTGGCAAAACCTGAGTTCTCATCCACAAACAGCTCAAAGGGCTTGGTTAGATCTGGCAGACCCAGAGCCGGGGCCTCGAGTAAGGCCTTCTTGATCTGTTGGAACGCTTTCTGATGCTTCTCCTCCCATTGGAACATGGCCCCTGGTTTAGTGAGGGGGTACAATGGGGCTGCCAGTTCGGCAAAGCCAGGAATCCAAAGGCGGCAGTACCCAGCCGTACCCAGGAACTCTCGAACTTGGCGGGGGTTCCGAGGAGGGGGGATGGAGATTATCGTCTCCTTCGTTGCTCTTGTTAACCATCTTTGCCCCCCGCTCAGGGTGTAGCCCAGGTAGGTAACCTTGTCTCGGCATACTTGAGCCTTTTTGGCTGAGGCTCTATAGCCCTTTTGTCCAAGTCTGGCCAATAAGGCTCGAGTGCCCTCCAGGCACTCGGTTCGACTCCTGGCCGCCAGGAGTAGATCATCCACGTACTGGAGCAGAGTCAGGGTTGGGTGTTCGACCCGGAATCCGGCCAGATCTGCATGTAGGGCCTCATCAAAGAGGGTTGGGCTATTTTTGAAGCCCTGAGGGAGCCGGGTCCAGGTTAATTGTCCCGAGAGCCCTTTTTCTGGGTCCCTCCATTCAAAAGCGAATAGCATTTGACTTTGAGGGTGCAGTCTTAAACAAAAGAAGGCATCCTTCAGGTCTAGCACAGTGTACCAGACGTGGGTCGGTGGGAGGGTGCTCAGAAGGTTATAGGGGTTGGGCACCGTGGGGTGTATGTCCTCCACCCGCTTATTGACCTCTCTCAAGTCCTGGACCGGCCTGTAGTCCCCTGTCCCCGGTTTCTTAACAGGCAAGAGAGGGGTGTTCCAAGGGGACTGGCAGGGCTTTAGCACCCCTTGGTCCAGGAGCCTTCGAATATGGGGCTTGATCCCCTCATGAGCTTCCCGTGACATTGGGTATTGTCTGATTGAAACGGGAGTCGCGGAGGCCTTTAGTGAGATCACCAGCGGTGGCTGATCGTGTGCCAGCCCCAAGCCCCCAGTCTCTGCCCAGGCCTGAGGAAACTCTCTCAGCCAGTTCTGTAGCTCCTCAGGTGATTTCTCCGGGGGTTCTGGCTCAAACAAACGGTATTCTTCTTCTAAACTGAGGGCAAGGATTTGTAGAGGGTCTCCTTTAGGACCCGTGACCCTCGGTCCCTTCTCATCAAAATAGATTTGTGCCTTCAATTTGGTTAATAGGTCCCGTCCTAACAGCGGATGGGGGCTTTCAGGTATGTGCAGAAAGGAGTGAGTTACTTGCCCTGATGCCAGTTGGACTTTTCTCTCGGCAGTCCAATAATACCTCTTGTTTCCAGTTGCCCCCTGCACCAGTGCAGAATGCCGGCTAAGAGGCACTCCGGCATGGGTTAGGACTGAATGTTCGGCACCAGTATCAACCAGGAAGGTCACGGGCTGCCCCCCGATATTGAGGGTTATCCTAGGCTCAGGGGGGGGCTCCTGGCCTCGACTCCCCTAGTCTTCCAGACTAAGGAGGTCTACGGTCTTGGGCTTGGGCCGGCGGGGTCCTTGTGGCTTCTTGGGGCACTCTCGGGCCCAGTGTCCCTTCTCCTTGCAGTAAGCACATTGATCTTTATCAAGGGGTGGCCTCCTTCGCTCTCCCGACCTATCTCCCTCTCTCCGCTGTCCCTGAGACACAACGGCGGCCAAAACCTTTTTCATCTCCCTATGCTGTTTCTTGTCCCTTTCCTCTTGTTTCTGCCATCTCCTTTCCTCACGCTCCTCAGGAGTTTCTCTCTTATTGAACACTTTCTCTGCTTCCTTCAATAAGTCTGGCAAACCTAGCGCCTGTAAACCTTCCAGCCGCTGCAATTTGGTTCTGATATCTGAGCTAGACTGATAGATAAATGATAGGATGACACCTGGTGCTTGCCCTGGGTCTTCTGGATCATACGGAGTGTACATCCTATAAGCCTCCTTCAGCCTCTCTAAAAATGCAGCGGGTGTTTCTTCCTTTCCCTGTATCACATTCCTTACCTGAGCCAAATTGGTAGGCCTTCTAGCGGCCACTCGGAGATCCGCTAAGAGCAACTGGCGATAGAGACGTAGATGCTCCCTACCTTCAGGTGTATTGAAGTCCCAGTCTGAGCGGGTCAAGGGAAAAGCTGCATCGATGATATTTGGGAGTTGGGTTGGCCTCCCGTCATCGCCCGGAACCTGCTTCCGGGCCTCCAGGGAAACTCTCTGCTTCTCCTCTACTGTTAAGAGGGTCTGCAGGAGCTGCTGACAGTCATCCCAAGTTGGCCTGTGAGTCACTAGGATGGACTCAATTAGGCCGGTCAAGGCAACAGGATCCCTGGAGAAAGGGGGATTATGTTGTTTCCAATTATAGAGGTCTGAGGCTGAAAAGGGCCAGTACTGCAACTGACGATTCGGCCCCTCTCTGAGCGGGAAGGCCCTGGACTCATTAGGGGGGTCATCCCGGCGGCCGCGGAGGCGGCCGGCAATGGGGGACGGGGCTGCGTCCTCTTCTTCAGCCCCGTGGGTCCTGTGAGTCGAGGTGACTTCCGGATCTGCCACGGGCACGGCCGGGGGCGCCGCCACCGGGGCGGCGGCTGGGGCCGCTTCGGCCAGCTCTCCAGGTGGTCCGGCTTGATATGGTGGTGGGTCCTCCGTCAGGAGATCTATAAGGGGGGTATGGGGGTCTGGGGGAAGGACTGGAGGCTTAGGAGTCTCCTTGTGAGGGAGCACGGGGTAAAGGGAGGAGTCCGGGTTGGGGGGCGCAGAAGGCCCAGAGACTGGAGGGGGCTGTGGAAGGAAAGGCTTAACCCATGGAAATGGGTTCTCGACCAGTGATCTCCAGATGGCGATATATGGGACCTGGTCGGGATACCCATAAGGGCTAGGGGCAAAAACCTTGCCCTCCACCTGTGAAATAAGAGAGAGGTTAAAAGATCCCTCTCGCGGCCAGCCGACATTCATCATGACCCATTCGGCCTCGCAGAGGGTGATCCATTTGTTCTTCCTGATAATGACACCTTCATTGTTTCCTCGGGCCTTAACATCGGACCAGTGGTCCGTGGTTAGGCTCAGTGGGGTGGCGACAGCCTGTCCCATGGTGGTCTCTAAATAAAGAAGGGTTAGACACACAACGAGAAACAAACAGACAAGACAGACCACAGAATTTCGCGCTGCGCGGCTCCGGCGTAAAACCGAAAACAAAAACTCAGATGGGGACACGGAGTGTTTGAATTCTCCGTCCCCTGCCAGTACCATGTATCCTTCTGATGCGTGGGTGGCCCCGAAAAACCGTGCCCCAGAGGGGACTTCAGATACCCGTGGAACGTCTTCCAGGGTTTCGGTGGGCGAAGTCCGAGCTCGTCAGCTCCTTCAGCCCCCACCGACTCAGACCTGACTTAGGACGCCCGACGAAAACGAAAGACAAGTAAACAGACTGAGACAATACAGACAGACAGTGGCCGGCCAACTTACCTCCTGACAGTGGGTCGGTGGTCCCGAGGCGGGGGTCTCCGATCCCGGATGAGCCCCCAAATGAAAGACCCCCGAAGGTAGTCTTCCCTCTGGAGAGACCCTCGCCCAGAGATCACACCGAGACCACAAGTCAGATGCAAACAGCAAGAGGCTTTATTCAGGAACACGGGTACCCGGGGCGACACAGTCACTCCAGAGGCTCAAGAGACTGGCGCGCCGACGGGCTGGAGTGGAGGGTTTTTATAGGGTCGGGCAGCAGAAGGGCGGGTACAGAAGCAAGAAGCATGGTTTACAGGGTTCTGATTGGACGATTCGTATGAGGCCAGGTTCAAACTCAGGACAGCTCGTGGTTTTTCCCGAGCTCGACACGCCTGCTGACTTGGCTCTTATCTAGGGTACAAGTTGTTTTTCTGACCTTTTAGTTCCCTGTTCTGGGGCCAGGTGGCCGACCGCAGATACCCTGTTTGTTCCTGTGCCCATGTCCTCTAACTGAACTTTCCCCGTACTTTTCAGGCCTTGCTCAAAATGGCATTAGGCTAAGCAAGTATGCTGGGGCCTTTCAAGGCAATGGTAGCACACGCCTTTATTCCTAGCATTCAGGAAGTGGAGATTCATCCAGATCTCTGTGGGTTCAAGGCCACACTGGGAACAGAGCCAGGTGTGGTGGTATATACCTTTAAATTCCAACACTAGTTAACCATAAAGGTCTGGAGGTCTGTACAGACAGACAGGAAGTGACAGAGCTGGGCAGAAAGAGGAAGTGATGTAGCTGGGCAGAGGAAGGAAGTGAGATGACAGGGACAGAAAAGATATAGGCATGTGTATACAGGAAGTGGCTCTCTCTGGAGGCTGAGAGTTTGTAAGATGAGGTTGGCTGTGGCTTTTCCTATTCCTCTGATATCTCAGTTTTCACCCATTATCTGGTTCCAGGTTTGTTTTTTTTATTAATAAAACCAGTTAGCAATTAGTAAGACCAGAAAGCATAGGTACTTTCCATAAACTTGTAACATTTTATACATTTAACTTTTATTTAGTGAAAATTTTTGTTTTTCTTCTTAAAGCCCTCTTTGTATGATTGACATGCAAAAAGTGTTGGTTCTAGTGAGAAATATGTGGTGGTCAGAGGACATAGCATGCTCTTTATCCCATTCCTTCATCTCACTTATTTTTGCATATTCTTAGTCAAGTTACGGAATATGTTTTCTCATTCTGTTTCTTCGAGTTTCATAGACAGGCTTCTGGAGAGGAGTCTGTTCTACAAGGCCTTCTAAGAGCATCTCAGCCGTCAGCAACAATTGCAAATTACATTCAGTCTGAAAAGAGCAAAACCATTGTGATGTGCTGTTTAAAATACCTTAGTGACTTCTCCCCTTTGCATTTCATCCAGGTTGTTCTGAGCAGCATTGGAGAGATATACAAGATCAGGATAGGACATGACGGAACGAGTGGGCAGCCAGAGTGGAGCTTGCAGAGGGTAATGACTTCCTTTGTAATTCATGCTTCATGCTGATGAAAAGAGTGGGGAATGGAAAATACTTTAGAAACTGTCCTAAGTAATGTAAACAAAAAATTGTGGACACAACACTCTAAAGTGCTTCATTATGGTGAGATAGATTTTAACAATAGCATTTTATAATGATATTTATAAAGAGAACTTTTATTAATGAGTGAAAACCTGAAGACTGATAGCAAGGTATAAGAATCAAAGGGCATTTTTATTCTGTGATATTTATCACCACCTAAGTAGCTCATGGTCTTTACAACTTTTTCTGTGAATCTCTTTCATGTATACTTGTATCTGCACTCTCTCTCTAAATATATGTGTATATAGAATCATATAAAATATGAATGTATGTAAGAGATAAATATATGTGCTTATTAGTATAAATATATTTATATTCAAATGTGCATCTCTCATGTTTTTAATAAAATCTAATCATTTTATTATACACTTGGATATCCTATTTATTTATATGTTTGCAATTAATCATGTCAATAATGTCAGCTGAATGCTTGCCAGAAGCCAGCTGCCTTACCAGTGCTAGTGTATGTTTACTTAACAGTAGCTCTTTGATTTGGCTCTATTGATGTTCCTACTTTATAGATGAGAAAACTGAGGCTCAATGAAGTTAAGTAATTTTGCTAGTCATTTAGTAAATGGTCGTCTTGTACATTGGTCTTGAGAGAATCTTAAGCATTGCCATGCAGCTATTGTTCTTAAAAGTAGTTATTAAACCCTGGTGGTTCTTAAATTTCTAAATGGAAATAGTAAATTATACTGAAGTAAAACGATAGAGTAGAATTATAGATTGTATCCACTTTAACATCTACTTCTGTCACTGATGTCTTTACAGTGTGTGATATGTTATTTAAAATATCTGAGGTTTAAAATCTGGATACCACTGGTAAAATCTGACAAAATATTTCTCCAGTTTAAGTATTTTATAATCTTATCTGTGATCTTGGTTATTGTATCTTTGGTTCTATAGTGAAGGTAAATGAAAAAATGTTCAATTTGCTGAAATATTTGATGAATTTTTGTATAAGTTGTGTTTATTACCATTTGTGTGCATGTGTGGTTTATGCATTCATATGCATGTGTGTGTGTGTGTGTGTGTGTGTGTGTGTGTGTGTGTGTGTGTGTGTGTGTGTATGTGTGTGTGGTGTGTCACAGTGTGTGAATGTCAGAGGGTGATTTTGTGTTAGATCTCTCCTTTCACTTTTATATAGCTGCAGGGATTGGACTCAGGCCCTTTAGCTTGAGTAGAAGGTTTTAACCTGTTGGACCACCCGAGCAGCACCCCTGAATCAGGCTTAGCACATACCCAACACAGAGAAGTGCAGTTTTATAGCATGAGAACAAGTGAGTGCAGTCAGTTAGTTCAGAAGTCTGAACAGGTGGGAGAGCCCTGTATGGTGGTCGATGGTATAGAGGAAGGGGGGGGAATCATAATCATTGAGAGAATTCAAGAGAGACAGGAATGAATTTCTAAGATACAAAACTCACAGAGCCTTCAAATTCACATCCCAAGCAGAACCTGTTGCATGTGGAGGCACCAAGTTCTGGGAACGAAGAAAGGGGACATCCTTCCCCTACTTAGTGATAAAGACCTCTGTGAATAGCAGAGTGGGAGGACAGCAAATAACAGAGTCAGCAAATGAATTCAGCAGCTAGAACTGTGGTCCAAAACCAAAGTGATATGGAAGAAGGCATATCTGTATACACTTTCTTTTCAAGTGGTTTCAAATTTATTAAAATTGAAGTAATGAAAGCAGTCCCCATTTGTTCACCAGTGGCTGTCTGCTTCTTTGTTCTCTACTATGATGTGTGTGTATAATGTGTGTTTTGTCACTTACGGGGTGTTTTAGACCAGTGGCACTTTAGTCTTGTAAATATCTTACTCATCATAAAACTCCCACCCACAAAGTGTAGGATCCATTGGTGATTCTGTCTTGAATCAGTCATCACTGTATTGGTTGCCAAATAGTGAATTTCTGACTACATTTTTACTTATGCATTTCCTGTCATTCTTTACTGAAGTAGAACATTCTCTTTCCCTTGATTAAAGATTTCATTTTATTTATGTAGTCAGCTTTCCATATCTGTGGACACTGACTGCACATTCAACCAACTATACATGAAAACATTTTGAAAAAAAAAAGGGTCTTAAGTGAAAATTCCAGACTTCTTTGATAGTTAATCCTGAAACTAACAACTAGCTATGTAGAATTTCATTGTATTAGTTATTATAAATAATCTAGAGATTATATAAACTGTTTATGAGACTATAAAAGCTCTATGTAAAAACAATGTTATTTGTTATATGGACTTAAGCATCCATTAATATTAATGTCGATGGGGCCCTAGAACCAATCTCTGGTATATCAAGGGATGCCTACACAGCAGAATTTTATTTTGATAGGCTTGGTCTGTTCTGATTTTGATGCTGAAATTATCCTTTTGACATGTTGCTATCAATAAGAGAGCTTTTTTACTTTCTCACATAAAAATATGTCTCATTTTATTTAGTACTTTCTTTTGTTCAAGTCTTAGAATCAGCTACATTTTCGAGCAACCCTAGCAGAAAAAGGTATTAATATTGAACAATATTTATGTGAGACAACACGAGAAGATATTTTCCACTAATGCCTAAGCCTGGAGGACGCTTCCTTGGTGTGGTAGGCTGGATGTGCTTTCACAAGATGCTCCATAGTCAGTGTTTCCATGGTAAAATGAGGTTTTTATTCCTAGCTTGAGTGGGTCAGGGTACGTAGTAAATATAATAAAAGCTCTGTGTTGCCCGATGGCAAAGAAATTTGTTTACCTGTGCTTTTAAAACTAAATTTGCCATTGACAAAATATTTCTGAAAAAAATCTATTAGCATGGCTGGGCAGTGATGGCACACACCCTTTTTTTTTTTTTTTTTTTTTGGTTTTTCGAGACAGGGTTTCTGTGTGTAGCTTTGCGCCTTTCCTGGAACTCACTTGGTAGCCCAGGCTGGCCTCGAACTCACAGAGATCCGCCTGGCTCTGCCTCCCGAGTGCTGGGATTAAAGGCGTGCGCCACCACCACCCGGCTGATGGCACACACCTTTAATCTCAGCACTCAGGAGGCAGAGGCAGGTGAATCTCTGAGTTTAAGACCAGCCTGGTCTACAGAGTCAGTTCCAGAACAGTCAGGGCTACACAGAGAAACCATATTTCAAAAAAGAAAATGAAACAAAACAAAACAGACAAACAAGAAACCTATCAGCATCATATAAAATTTATGTTATCCATTATTGAGGGAGTTTACAGTGTATGGAGGCTTGCTTAGGAAACAAATGTAACTATTAGACAGAAGCAGTAGCACCCACAGATTTGATTGGATGATACTGTGGCAAGTTTGCATTGAGGGTTCTTCTAGTAGGTGCCTGTCTAAGGCTTTGTCAGGGAACGCTCAGGAGGGGAAGAGAGCATAGGAGCTCTCTAGAGTCTTGGTGGGATTTTTGCTTACACAGTAGGGATGTCTGTCAGAAAGCTCCAAAGGGTAGCAGCAGCATCTGGGGCCTTACGTAACAAAATACATCTTGCAAATACTTATCAGCAATTGGTCACAGTTTTGTGGGTATATGGAATAAGAAGTCTCTAAGTAGCTCAAGGTCTGATTGTTGATATTTGTTTTCTTTTGAAAGAAGATTTATTTTATTATTTTAAATTATGTGAATGTCTGTGTCTCTGAGACTATGGGCTTGCAAGTTCAGGTGCCTTCAGAGCCTAGAGGTGCCACATCCTGCTGGAACTGGAGTTGCAGATGCTTGTGAGCTGCCAAACATGGGTGCTAGGAACCAAAGTTGGATCTTCTGCAAAAGCAGTTCATGTTTTATAACCACCTAACCACCTCTCCAGCCCTGAGGATATTTGTTTTATTGTAATAAAAATTTAGACTATTTTAAAATTTATTGGATGTTTAAAATTTTGAGTTTATTGTCTATGGGTTTTTGTGCCGGGTCTGAACTTCACAAAGAAATAAGAAACATAGGGACCAATATTCAGAGGCCATCTCTATCTCATT